CCATTCTACTCCCCAAGGGTATGAATTTCCTAAATTTGTGTTGTCCAACAAATTAACTCATGGCTTTTAAAAGAATCTTTGTGGCAATTTTTGTGTGTATAATCCAGCGGTCATGAAGTTTTATATAAATTTTTATTAACTTTACCCATTTAGTTGATGGAATTTCAAAAATCTCTTCTAAGTGTTCTTCACTTAAGGGTCATTTCTCCAGAATTTCATACCAGATAGTAACGAATTTGCATACACCGAAATTTCCGAAGTAATTATACTTTCTAAGAGGACGAATTTCCTAAAATCGCTTTGTGTAGCTAATTCACTAATAGCATTTAAACGAACCTTATTTATGTATCTAAAGCTGGCGGTATGAACTGACTCCTATAATATCTAAAAAATTTGATATATACTCTAACTGACATACCACTGACAATGACGAATAATTGATTTCTAAAGCTAATGTGTGTGTGTTTTACAGGTATGTTTTAATATTTATTCGTTTTACATAAAGAAATAGCGATTAAACGATATAACAATGCTTCATAACAAATCTAGACATATATACCTTTCATTTAAAAAAAGAATCATCAAGATTGGTGAATCGGTTTCGGCGGGATGGATGTAACAAAAAAAACCTTTGAGCTTTTATATATGTATATGGATATGGATGGATACCAATGAGGTTATATACAGGGAGACGCTATGAGCATTTAAAGTGCTTGCGAAAAATGGTAACACTAGGCATGGCTTAAGCCAGCACCAATATGGCGGCATTAGCAGGGCCGGATTACAGAAACTTCTTTGAAAAATTTTATTTTACACAATATAACGACCTCAACTTTTTTAAATAAAAAATTAATTAATCAAAATAACTACAAAACCTACAATTTTTTCAAAAATATAAATTACAAGATTAATTTTAATGACTATAATATACTATGTATATTTAAGGAGAAAACACAAAAAAATAATACACATTAAATAAATTAAATTTTATTGCTCACTAAATAACACTGTTTTGTTGCTAGTATGTCTTAAACTAATTGCCTTGTTTTTATTGATGTATCTAACAATAATAACCTTAACATTTAAAAAAAATAGAAAAAAAGCGGAAAATAATTAAACATGATTACTGATTTACCATAATTAACATTTTGATAATCATTAAAATTTAGAAATCTTAGGAAATTATTATTTATTTGAGATATTTTATTGAGATGTTCTGTCAAAACAGCTATCAGAAAAATGTTTCGAGCATAGAACACTACCTGATGTAGCTTGCCAGTTTCTCCTGTTCACAAACTTCACCCAAGCTTCTCGACGGATGGGATGTTTGAAACCTAAAAATCAGATTTAATATAATATTTATTTGATAAAAATTTTCTAAAGAGAGCAAAATTTATATACTACGTACTAAATTTAAAATGTTCTGATATAAAATTTTATTAGAATAATAAATGTTTATCAATAAATATAAGTCGTTAAGACTTTATCTGCAAAAAGTAAATTTACTTTGTTGATTTTATAATATTTATCTAAAAATTAAAGCTATACTATATAAAGTTTGTACATAGTATATGCTAGCAGATCCTAAAAAGGAATGTAAATAAATGTTTATGTACAAAATCTTAGTGTAAAAATAGAAAAATAAACCGTAGTTAAAACAAAACTTTTAAATTTGGCCTAGCAAAATACTCTTTCCTGTCAAAAAAAGTATATGTAGTAAAAATAACAGATATTGTTAAGAATTTTTTTTACAAGAATAGAAGTCGAGGCATGTTTTAATTACTTAATCGCCTCTAACAAAGTATTAAATACCTAAGCACTTTGTCAATATAGAAACACTTAATATTTAATTAATAAACGCATAACTAGTTAAATGGAAAATACGAAAATAATTTAATCAGGTCCTGTATTATGTTTACACTTACCTGTGAAATGCAATTTCAGATGATTTCTTCCTCTCTGCACGTTGTCGACTGCAACAACTACTTACAGCACACAAAGACATGTTCGGAAAGTCCAAATATTCAAATAAAAACACAAAAATAGTCTTGGAAAATTAAAAAAACACTCGCAGCAACGCACTTAACCTCAAAAACTGAACTGTCAGAATTGCCACTACCAATATGGCGTAACTGGGTACATTTCTCGATAGCTTATGTCGCCTCCCGCCCTTATAACCTCATTGATGGATACCAACCTTCATCTTTTGCAAATGATTCGCTGTCGTAACATTTTAACCCTATTCTCGCAAATTACAACGCAAGTATATGCAAGATTAGAAATACAGGCGATTCCGCACGTTTTTATAATCCGCATCTGCTGTGTTTTGTAATATTTGAAATGTATACAGTCTGTTGCATCACCGACCTGGACCTGGACAGGAAACCCCATGTGAACTTAAAAATGATTTTTAAATTCACATTTTTAAATTCACACCCCTTTTTATTTTATAGAAAAAATGTATTTGAAACTCCTTAAAATAAAGCAAATTATTCATTTTGAATGATTTATACGAATTCGTTCTCGAGTTATGAGAGATACAAAAATACTAAATTAATCAAAAAAATAATACGGTCCTGATTAGAATATTAAACATGCCAATATCTTCAAATTCAATATTATTTCAATGTCAAATTGACTTGTCGAAAATAATTTTAACTAAGGGTGTATTCCGTTGCTTACCTTGGTTATGGTTCTATGTTCCGTGTCTATCGGTTTTCTGAAAGTTTTCCTATTACACACGGTTCCTGAAAAATTCGGTTATAACTGTCCCCAAACTCAAGCACCAAACTAACCAGCGCGACAAGGCTGGTATTTCTGGTTTTGTTTGTCAATCTAAATCATTTATGTGACAGAAATCAAGCAAATATTGGAAGTTCGAGTGAAATTCTCATTTAATTTCTAAAATTTGTAATAATATTTTGTATTTACATCCAAAAACAATGGAGGTAGGCAGTAAAGGTAAATAAATTTCATTAACTACATAGAACGACTTTTTAGGACCATTTAAACTTATCATGCCAGCCATTGTGTGTTTTGTAAGCTATAAAAACATAAATATTCATTAGATTTGTTTATTTATTGCTGATCTGTTTTAATATTGGACCTGCAAATCTTTACTTGAGCTGTCTAATGAGTTTAACAGTTTATTAATAAAGTACTTTTCAATATTATACTCCATTGAATAAAAGAAGCAAACGTAAAAGCAGAGAATAGGTACATTAAAAATGCATAAAAGATAAATTTTATAATAGAGGTATTGAAATTTAGAAAACGTCAACATTTGACGTTTCCAGTATTTTACCAAACCGTTCCGTATCAAACGGATGTTTTTCAGGAACCGCTCTTTACCGTAGTTTACCGGTCTAGTTCGCCTGGTTCTGCAACGGAATACAACCTAACTTATTGACTTTATACGTGCTAAATATAATATAAATGTAAATATCAGTGACGTAACTTGACAACGGGAAGCCTTGGTGCAAGATATTTTTGGAGGCCCCTGAGCAAAGAACAAAACCAAAATATTGTACATTTTTTATTATTTTTTTTTGAAGGGCTCTGTGGGGGGGGTCCCAAGTTCCTGCGGGGCCCCGGTGCTTTGCACCGAACTGCCCTATAATAGCTACGCCACTGGTAAATATGAAAAAAACAACTTAGGAAAAAAATATTTTAGTGGTATTATAGAGGAAAAAGTCTACATGGTGTAAATTGCAAATTGTTCGCAACTTTTCGATCAACACTAAAATCCAATTTTTAAGTGTTCGCATTTTTGCGTATTAGCAAATTTCCCTGCGTTGGCTTGCGAGCGGATCGACAGCGTCGTAAGGATATGTTTTTTAAGTGCGCATATTAGATTTGATAGTTCCAAGTTGGTAGTTGGGTTTAGGTGTAACAATAATAGTAATGGATAACTTAATGAACGTTTTGGCCATTCGAAACCTAGAAAATGCAGAACTTCAATACCGCCGTAATGTTTTGCGCAATCCGGGGAAGGAGTTCATAGAACTGAGTGGAAGGCAATTTATTAAAATATTTCGATTATCCAAAGACTTATGCCGTTTTTTAATTCAGTTACTTGAGCCGTACATGCGACCACAAAGAAGAGAGACTGATTTGAATGTGCAAAGTCGGGTAATATTTTTCTTTATTATTGTATATCTATGAAGTAACACTAAATTTCAGATTTTAGCTGCTTTGAAATTTTACGGAAGTGGTTGTTACCAGCCGGATGTTGCTTTAAATAAATACATCGATAGAAATACAAGTCTCGGTTTCTCATTCAATCGATGAAGTTACCAACGCTCTAAACCATCCAGAGATATTCGATCAATGGGTTGAATTTCCAAATAATTTTCTTCCTCTTCTTTGCAAATTCTATTAACGTTGCTTTTTGCTTTTCTGTAACATTAGTTCCACGCTCGGTTCCACGTTTTTTTTCCCATTATTAACCCACTTGACAAACAACACAACAAACCTCGATTATCGACACCAAGTAATGAAAAGTAAACAAACAGTAAAAAATACGGTTAAACTGTAGAGAATTTAGTTTTTCACTGTGATTTGTCTGTCGACGTTGCTACAACTTACTTTTGCGTACGCTCACGACGATCGCAAATTAAGATGCGAAGATGGCTGAAAAAATGAATTTTTATAACGCATTCGTTTTCTAACACTCGCAAAGTTGCGCGTTCGCATGTAAACGATCAATTCCAAAAATATTGCGCCCCAGTTATTGAAGATTATAAATGTAAGAGAAGAATTCCAAAACGAACAGTTATTAGCCCCTCAGTTAGAATGCAAATTTAATAACAAATCCGCTGAGCCAAAAAAATATGGTATTCCATTTAAAAACATGCAAATTTTATAAAATTATTGGAATAAGTTTGGAATTTTTTGGAAAGCTGAAGCACACTGTATAGTTTTTTTTTCAAAAAATCTATTGTTAAATGTTTTGTTATACATAAATAGATAAAAAAAATCATGTTTACTTTTTATATAGCTATATTTACAAGAATATGTTTAAAACAAATTAAACTTGGTTATTTAAATAAAATATTCATTTATGTGTCGATGCTGTAATATCATCCCAAAACGCTGACAACGCCATGCATTCCTCTGTCTTTTGCTTTAAGGAATTTTCTAGAGACGATGCTTTTATTTGCATCCTTTTTACCGTTGCTTGCAGCTTGGCTATTTCAGCCTGTTTTTCTTGTTTCTCCCTCAATACTGCTCTTTCTACTCTAAGAAATAGGGAAAAATAATAAGAAAAACATGACAAGAAAGATAAAACAAGAATGTGTTTAGGTAAAAAAATATCAGATTTGTGTAATTTTTTTATCACTCTCTGGTATTGAAAAATACAAAGGTTAACATTACACACTAAAATATTTTTTCTTAATTTAGGAAGAATTAAAAAAAATACCTACTTAATAATTTAATGAGACTATGGGCTAACATCTCTTGAATGGTGAAAAACATATGAAGAACAGAGGCAGTTGCAGTGGCGGATACAGAAATTTATATTAGGTGATAATTTTTTTTCATTAGGTATAATTTATATTTATATTATATACAAATAAAAAGTAGTGTATATATAGTAGTGTACATGCCTTTTAGGGCACCTATTTTAACCCAAAAGCCTAATATTTAACCCAATTTACAGACTGGGCCCCATGCGCCCCCCTCTGTATCCGCCACTGGGCAGTTGCAACAGTTCCTAGCAAAACACTCATCAAAATTTACAGAAGACTTTATAATCAAAGGCAGAAAAATATCAAAATTGGTAGATCTACACTCACCGATACGAAAAACGGAACCTTAAATTTTTTATGTATTTTATTAAAGTTTTATACAGGGTGAGTTTTCTACGATGTTCTCTATGGGCATCTCGGAAACTACTGAAGATAGATAGTCGGATAAATGGGGAAAGAATTGCAGTTTTGTTGGGTCATAAATATACGCCTTTCAGATTTTTGAAAAAGTTCATTGCTTTCTAGATATTTCGAAAAAAAAACAAAATTTGGCTATTTTGAAAATGGTTCCTAATCCCTAATTCCATTATAATCTATTTTAGACAAAAAGTTTTCAGATAAAAGTTGTAGACAATCGTGTTTTATATGTCTATGAGATTGTATTTGTGTCATATGTCCATGAGATTTTTTTTTTCTAAAGTATGTAATTTTTAACATATGACACAAACTTATGTTTTTTTTTTAAATGGAAACCATAGTTGGCCATGACTTCATAAAAAGCGCCATTTTTTAAGATTTTTAGTGATATAAACTATAATATGATTTTTTCGAAAAAATACTGTGTTATAGCCAATTCTTATCATTTTTAAACAATTTCATGCACTTAGTCAGCCATGGAAACAAGCTCAATCGTCGGCTCAATGGAATTAAGCTCAATGGAAACAAGCGCTCTCTCGGAAATGTCAAACTGTCACATCCAAACATTGTAAATTAAAATAACCAAAAATTGTACTTTTACAGTTTTTTACGGTATTCTCCGATGGTGCTAGAGCCGGCGGAGAATGCACCAAGCCTATAGTTTAGTTGCGTTAATTGAAGATGATAGAGATCAAAATTATGTCGCTAACAGAATTAGGTCTGCACGAAGTACAGTGCAGTCGCTTACTCGAGACAACTTCGTATGAAAACTTCGAACCGAGATAATCGACATATTTCAGGTTTATCGCTAAGAAACCGCCCCTTGCCAGTTTTTCAAATTTATAATGAATTGCACCTAAGGAACGTACGTAGAAGTGAACGGAGTGTAAGAAGAAGATTAAATGAAGCAAATCTTAATTCAAGAAGGCCTGCTTTGGGACCACAATTTACTAGGTCTGTTGACTAGGACCACAGACTAGGACCAAAAGCAAAGATATGGTTTTAATGTAAAAATTACGAAAAAATGTTAGTGTCGTCTTCAAAAGCGAATATCTCCAACAAAAATTAAGCTATTGAGATGAACCAAAAAACAAAATATCGAGAAAGGATGTACTTAGATGATAAAATTATTTTTAAATTCCTTGCTGTCTTAATATATTCCACAGGGCGTTTCAAACCTTCATCAATATATCAACATTTTGTTTTCTCTCGTATAATTGGCAGATGGGAACTTTTATTTTCAATTTATAAAGAGACACTAAAAAGTCAAATAATTTAGCTACATATTGCTTAAAAAATCATCAAAATCGTCCTACTAAAACAAAATATATTAAACTTTAAAAAACTTCCAAATTTTAAGGTGCCCGTTTTTAGTGCCTGTGAGTGTACTAATAGGGCAATTCTAGCTTAATAGGCAATTAAAGCGGATAGGATTACCATACAAAGCTATATCAAAGCTATATCATAGTTTGCTATATGCAGGTCCAGTCAATCAGAAGAAGAAATGGTAGAACACATTCTCAGCAGTGGCGGCTCGTGAGTTTTGAAGGGTGATAAAGGAGGGTGGCTCCACAGGAAAAAAACATATATTATTTTTATTTTTAGTACATATTGCCTATCCTTCTAGTTGTCATACTAGAAATACGCAGTATTCACTTTAATTTATTAAAATATTTTAATATATCTTAAATAATATCTAGAACAAAAGTAAGAAGAAAAATGCTTAATGCGAATCTTTCTTGGATTAGCAATAAGTTTTTGATATATGTAATGGTAATGATAATAAGGATGTATCAGTAATGATATATAATGAAAATATTTTAATTTATTGCCTGGGGTAGGATACATCTTTTTTCTTACATTATATGCACGCAACTGTTAATTAGATCGTATTAGAGTAGGCCAATATTACCCATAAAATCTTATCTAATACAATTATTTAAATCATTTTTTAATTATAGAAAAAAAGCGCTACATAAAAAAAACTTATATATTTCTAATGACTAATATAATATTAAACATAAGACGGCTAGTCTACTTCTTATATAGAACAAAGATTAGTCGGTTTCTCGTTCAACAGCGAAAGATGTGATTAGAAAAAAACTACACTCACCGGCACGAAAAACGTGAACATTAAAATTTTCATGTATTTTAAAGTTTAATATATTTTGTTCTAGTAAGTAGTAAGCCAATTTTGATTGCGAACTGCCTCGTTTTCCCCATAGCTAGGTATAGCTCTGAAACATGGACACTAAAGGAAAGTGATAATCAAAGAATAAACGCCTTGAAGATGTGGGTATATAGACGGCTGCTGAGAATACCACGGACGACTCATCGAACAAACATTTCCATTATTGAATAACTAAAAATTGAGACAAATCTAGTTACCAAATTAAATCAGTCAATCCTCCGATAGTTCGGTCAGAGTATAACAAATCAACGAGTAGCGACAGTAAGCGTCGGAACCTTTAATGTTTGATGTTCCAATTTTAGCCGCCGCGCCGGCTTTGAAGGTGATCCTGGCTAATACACTGCTGAAAACATGAAATTACAATGTAAAAAACTTGAAGTGGACTCATAGTTATAATACATGGTTAAATGTACACACCGATCATAGTCTTTGGGAAATGAAAACATGGATTTCTTATCTCCTGGTGTTGTTAAACAAGGGCGATACGCACAACACGTTCTTGGCATTATTAATATTAATTTTATTAAAAACAAAGCAAACAACAATTAACACGTTTCGCACTCAAATGTCAATATCATGTTTTATTGCCTTTGCTACCTGACTAAATTCGGTCGGCTGATTGGTATCCTATGTTGACGTTGATCATCTATTTCGCGCATGCCCTTGTAAATTTCGGAACCAAAGTGACGCTACTCGTTGATTTGTTATACTCTGGTTCGGTCATATCGCCAGCAGCGGCACCTCAAATAGACTGATGGTGGAGGAGAAGGTAGAGGGAAGACGATAACGTGGAAGGTCACCTAAGAGGTGGGTAGACCAAGTCAAAACCCTAGTGGGTCACAACCTCACCGAACCCTCACATATGGCGCAGTGTCGAACAACCTGGTCCGAGGAAGTGAGGAGAATCAACACATGTTGTCACCATACTCTCACACTCTCACGTAGGGTGAAACACTGAAGAGAGAGAAGACAGATGCCGACTTTGATGATTTTTAAGGAGTATGTAGCTAAATTATTTGACTTTCTAGTTTCTCTTTTTAAATTAAAAATTAAAGTTCCCATGTGTCAATTATACCAGGGCTAACAAAACGTTGATATTTTGGTGAAAATTTGAAACACCCTGTGGAATATAATGTCCATCCTTTCTCTATAGTTTGTTTTTTGGTTCATCTCAATAACTTTATTTTTGTTGGAGATTTTCGCTTTTGAAGAAGACACGTATTTTTTCGTAATTTTTACATTAAAAATTAAATAGGTACTTCAATAAATAACTACTTTGAAATGGAATTGGACAGGGCACATTGCAAGGCTAAACTATGACCGATGGACGAAGAAAATAATTGAATGGAGACCAAGATATGATGCATTTCTTGCATTGCCATCCTTCAACCAGATGGCACGACGACTTAAGCATGATTCACAGTACACCGGACCATGCCCGAGCCGGGCACGTTCCGTGAAGTAGACACCGAGCCACGTCCGATCCTTCTGTATATGCTACACCGAGTTGATAACGGGGTTTGTATTAGTTCCGAGTATATTAGAAAACACAGCCCCATAGACACACGAAGATTTAATACGAGCAATGCCAAAGTTCTCGCAATTGGAATTGGTACCAATTGCAGGTGATGAATAAAAAACAACACCTGCAGGTGAAACACCTGCTCAAAGGAAAAGATAAAGGATCTATCTTGTCATTGCATCCTTTCATTGTCCAGTTTTACGCATACCCTGTCGTCAAATACTGCTGTAAGATTCACTAATACTTCTACAGACATGATAAAAAGTGTACTTTGTTTATATCATGACTGCAGATTGCAGTCGGGGCACCAGGAAAAGTACATTCATGCTTTCCGCAACGTGGCGGGAACGTAGCGGATCCGAGAAAAAAATGTACGCCAACATTTCTGGGACGGGGCACGGACGAGTTCCGGCGAAGCTCGGATCGTGCTCGGCCTGGCATGAATATATATGTGTAAAGAACACTTGACAATGTTTGGCCGTGTCTTCACCGACGCACGGCTCGGACCCGTTCCGGTATAGCGTGAAACATCCTTTAAAGCGTATCCACAGTAACTGGATGCAAATAGCTCAAGATAGGGAGTTATGGAAGCAAACGAAGGAGGCCTACGTTCAGCAGTGAGCTTTAGTGGTTGGTTGA